TTTGACGATCGAGTCTCCGAGAGCGCGCGAGCGTCTTTGCGCGGCTTTGCGCGTGCCGCCCGTGGGCCCTCTCAAGCGGGCCGCCTCCGGGGTCGGGGCGCGTGGTTCGCACGCGCCCCATCCAGGCCCCATCAGCAATATTTGCTCAACACTGCCTGGCTGCGCAGCTGGGAGTCTTCACATGAGTCTTCTTGGCTCGCCGAGGCGCTCACTGCTCTCCGTCTCTTTGCTGATTCATAGTGTAACTTGCGGATGCGAAAGACCGCCGGTGCCTCTGCAGGTCTCCACGAACGCGCACTCTCCAAGACTCGCATGCTTGTGTGTCCGTGTGTGACTGTTCGTGTATGTGGTGTATCGTCACATCTGCCGCGCGTAAGGCTGAACCCTCGCATGTCACGCACACAGAAAGTGCTCGAGCTCAACGGCCTGCACTGAGCGGCGACACGGCCGTCGAGAAAGCGCTAGCGCGGCAGGCGACGCAACCCTGTGCCACCTCCACCATCGGGCAGCGGATCGGGCCACCATCGGGCAGCGGAGCGGGCCACCCAGCTCCTCCACTCGCGACGCCGCCCCTCAATTCTCCACTCGCGACACGGGCCACCCCCAGCTCGGAGGCGGATCCTGCTGGCGGACCTGCACGCTGACACGGTACGCGTCCAGGTAGCCCATCTCACGCGGCAGCGGCGCGGGCTGGTTGGTGTCGCTGGTCGCGTCGTAGGAGCTGGCGTAGCCGTGCACCAGGTCGATCCCGTGCTCCACATCGAACCGGGTGCCGCCGTTGAAGAGGATGGCGTCGCCGCTCTCCAAGTCCTCGGACGCGTCGCCGCAGAAGAAGGTGGCGGTGCGGCCGAAACTGAAGAGCACGACCCAGTTCCCGCACCCGTCCGAGTGCCGGCTGAGCGTGGCGCCGGCGGGGTAGATGAGGGTCGACGTGCGAGTCCACGGCGTGCGCATTGCAGGGCGCAGCGCATGCTCCCCCACACGGTCGCCCCTGCGGCGCAGCTCGTCCGAGGCGAGCGCCATCAGCCTGTCCGCGGCACGCTGCATCGCCGCGCAGATGTCGGGCCCGCCGACTGCAGACGCCGTGTCGATGGCGCGCCGCGAGGCGTACGTGTTGGTGTCGGACTCGCGCGTGTGCTGCTCGACCGTCGCCTCGATGCCGGCAATCGTAGACAGACGCAGGCCGCGATCGCCGCCAAAGTTCTCAAAAGCAACGATCGGGTTGTCGCCGCCGCGCATGATGTTGAGGCGCGAACACGTGGCGCTCGCCACCCACGCCTCCTCGGCCGGCCGGCGGCGCGATGCGGATGCGGCCGCAGCAGCTGGCCGCGGCGCGGCCACGCCCTGCCGGCGGCGCGACTCGCGCTCTGCGGCGAGCGCGCCCAGATCGAGGGCCGCGCCGGGTTGCGGCGGGGCAGCACCCGGCTGCCGCGCCCAGCGTGCCGCAGCAAGCGCGCCGAGGTCGCGATTGGTGAGCTTCCGCTTGCCGAGGCTCGGACGCTCCATTGGGCGGGACAGACTTCGAGAATGAGAAATCGAGCTCCCCGTGTGGTGAACCGCGCACACACCCCTTCTCCCGCTCCGAGGCTCGACCCCGCGACGGGCTACGCCGGGGCTCCGCGACGTGAATCTCAATAGACAGATGCAAGCCGCAAGCGCCTCGAGACACAGTGTCAGTGACGAACACACTCTTAAACGGGGCCTCGAGGGGCAGACCTATGGCCCGCACTCCCTATGGGCCCGCTCGTCACCACACGAGCCAGTTCACCCCTACTCCGACTCGCGCGTAATGGCGAAGCGCAGGACGCACGCGCTGAAGTCGCGCGCCGCGATGCCGTTCCTGGCTCCTGCCGAGTCGAGCTGCTGCTGCTCGTGGATCTCGTATAGCGAGAGGACGAGGAGCGCCGCCCGCGCGCGGGCTGCCGCCGGGAAGAGCGAGTGGCTTGCCGGCGACCACAGTGCCGCCGCCCGCCGAATCAGCGCCGCCGCCTCGCCCTCGGCGCCCGCGGCGCGCTGCAGCGGCGTCGGCTCGCCCTCGTGCAAGCTTGCGCCGGCTCGCAGCAGGGAGAGAGCGCGGGCGGCGGTGAGGGTCTCAAGGTGCGCAAGCGGCGTCCAGCCGCGGCTGGCGACCAGCCAAGCGTTGGTGTTGGCGTTGAACCCGGCCTCCTCGGGCGTGCCGAAGGGCGTAGCAGCGCGGGAGGCGCCGTAGGAGGAGAGGAGCTTGGCGACCTCGAGGTTGCCCCCCTCGCACGCGATGTACAGCAGCGTGCTGCCATCCTCATGAGCCCGGTCGACAGAAGCGCTCGCCTCGAGTAGCAGCCGGGCGATGTCGACGTGGCCCTTCTCGCTCGCGATGAACAGCGGCGTGGCGCCTCTGGCGTTGGCTTGGTCGACCGCCGCGCCCGCCTCGAGAAGCAGCGTGGCGCACTCCAGCTGGCCCTTCTGGCACGCGATGTACAGCGGCGTGGCGCCATTGTCCGCAGCCTGCGCGACGGAAGCGCCGACATCGAGGAGCAGCCGGGCGCACTCGAGGTGGTTGTTCTGGCACGCGCCGAGCAGCGGCGTGGCGCCGTTCTGCTGGGCTTGGTTGACCACCGCGCCAGCGTCGCGCAGCAGCCGGGCGACCTCGAGGTGGCCCTTGAAGCACGCGACGATGAGCGGCGTGGCGCCGCCCTCCTTGGCTTGGTTGACCGCCGCGTTGGCCTCGAGGAGCAGCCGGGCGATTTCGGGGTGGTTGTTCTGACACGCGATGAATAGCGGCGTGGCGCCGTCCTCCGTGGCATGGTTGATCGCTGCGCTCGCCTCGAGGAGCAGCCGCACGATCTCGAGGTGGCCCTTCTGGCACGCCATGTACAGCGGCGTGAAACCTTGCTCATCGGCCTGGTCGACTGAAGCGCTGGCCTCGAGAAGCAGCTGGGCGCACTCGAGGTGGCCCTTCTGGCACGCGACGTACAGCGGCGTGAAGCCTTCAGCGTCTGCTTGGTTGACCGCCGCGCCTGCCTCGAGGAGCAGCCGGACGCATTCGATCTCGCCGTTGAAGCTCGCAGCGCTCAGCGGCGTGACGCCGTCGTCCATGGGCTGCTCTATCGCCGCGCCCGCCTCGAGAAGCAGCTGGGCGCACTCGAGCTGCCCCATCTCGCACGCGATGAACAGCGGCGTGACGCCGCCGTCAGCAGCTCGGTTGACCGCTGCGCTCGCCTCGAGGAGCAGCCTGGCGCAGTCGAGGTGCCCCCCCTCGCTCGCGAGGAGGAGCGCGGTGGCGCCGCCGCTGTCAGCCGCCCCGACGCTCGCGCCGCCCTCGATCAGCAGCCGCACCGCCTCGGCCTGCCCGTGACGAGCGGCCCAGGTCAGCAGCGTGTCCTGCGTGCCGGTGTCGTGCCGCGCGTCGAGCTGGGCCGCGAGCGACGTGCCGTGCGTCCCCTGCCCGGAGAGGAAGGCGTGCAGCGAGGCAAGGTCGCCCCGAGCCAGGTCGGCGAGACGGGTTGGGAGGATGGCGTCGCTCATGGCGCCAGCTCATGCTGCCGGAAAGAAGGATTTTACCGCGCGCATGCGTGAGGATTGAAAATAAGGGCATGTGGGAGGACACGCCGCCAGCACACAGGGATTTTTTTAAGGAGGGGGGGGGGGTGATGCGCTAGCTGTCGCCCACCCTTGGGCGTCCGCCGCTTCCTATCTCTCTTCGCAGTCTCTCGCCGATTCTCGCTGCATGCCTGGGTCACCTCCAAGGGAGTGTTCGAACGCTGTCTCCGCCGCCTCCCGGGCCGTCTCGAAGGGCCGACCAGCCCACGCCACGAGGCTCTGCTGGCGGGAGCCAAGAAGGACTCGTAAAGGCCTCAGAGTGCCATCTGAAGCGGGCGGCACTGGACACTGGTGGGGCTAGAGGGGCTGACTGAGCGCCGGTGGGGCGGCTGAAGCTTGCCTGGCACGGGTTCTCGCGGCGCGTCCGTGTACCACGCGTCCAGGGCGCTGTTCCCACACCGCTCTGAGCGACAAGGGTGTGCATGGCGCGGTCGAGGAGCGTGTCTGAGATGATCTATAGCGAGCCTCTCGCACGTCCGGTGAGCGGCAGAACCGGCCATCCCGCACGACGACGGCGACGCGTGAAGGTGCGCACGCCATAAGGCAGCTGCGGGCCAGCACGTTGCATGGGATGATAGCGGCTGAGGGGGCCTGAGCATCGACGCGCCGCCGACAATGCACCTGAGGCCGCAAACGGCCAGGAGCGCGTCAGTTTCGATAAGTGAAAGGGATTGAGTGGCAGATTTCTATACCTAAACACAGATATGCAGCCCGGGGCCGAAAATCAAACGATAAAAAAAAGAAACAAAAAGGTAACCGGATATGAGGCGCCAGTCGGCGGGCTCCTTGAACCACAGCTTTGGCTCTTGGCACAGCGTGCCCGACGCCGTTCCGCGGATCGAGTGGCTCCCGGTCGCAGACACGAAGGCTGAGACAACGCAAAGAGCGGCCGCACATTGCTTGGTACCCCCCCTGCACTTCTAAGCCCATCGTGTTGGGGGGGGGGGAGGGAGGGGGCAGTCTTGGAGAACCCTGTCCACGCCTGAGGATTCTGCACTAGCGATTCTGCCACCCAAGACAGGATTCTGTATGCGGAGGCTCGAGAGGGATTCGTGTCCGTTTCTTCTGATTCTCACTCTCCTTTTCCGGTTCTGCCTACTCTATCTGATTCTGCCCGTCCCCTTTCCACGCACTCAGCCTCCGGGCAGGTTCCTCACCCAGCTTCCGTTTTCTGCCTCCGGATGCCGGAAAGGGAATTTTCCGCTCTGCCCGCCGATTTCTTGGCAACCCGGCCGGACTCTCGTTTCCTGATTCCTGTTTTTGCCCGTCGAGGGGCGGTAGCCCGGCCGGCCGGCCATCTGGGCATGCTCACTCAACCAATCACGCTCATGTGTACGCGCCGTATCCTCCACGCCACCCACTTTGCCATCGAAGTGCGCTCCGCGCTCCGCACAGTACAGTCACTTTTGAACGGCGGCTCATCACACGTGCGTCAGAGATCTCATGGGCGGTGGCATGGTGGAGCCAGAGCAGTGCGCGGCCGATCTTAATTCTGGGCAGGCGGTCTCCCATTCCCGCGGGCGCTTGGTGCCGGGGTTTGAACGGCATGCCGGCGTCAGATGCAGCTTGGCGCCGGCCTGCGGCGACCCCGCAAGCGGTCGTTGGTGCTGCTCAGCGATGCTCACAGCGGCACGTCTGCTCTTTTGCTGTGGGGAGTGCTGTCTAGGGCGCAGGCCGAGGTCGCCCTTGGCGGAGGCGAGGCGCGGCGCGGAGCCGGAGAAGGCGCGGGCGCAGGGGCGCAGGCCGAGGTCGCCCTTGACGGAGGCGAGGCGCGGCGCGGAGCCGGAGAAGGCGCGGGCGCAGGGGCGCAGGCCGAGGTCGCCCTTGACGGAGGCGAGGCGCGGCGCGGAGCCAGAGAAGGCGCGGGCGCAGGGGCGCAGGCCGGAGACGGCGCGGGCGCGAGGGCGCAGGCCGAGGTCGCCCTTGACGGAGGCGAGGCGCGGCGCGGAGCCGGAGACGGCGCGGGCGCGAGGGCGCGGGCCGAGGTCGCCCTTGACGGAGGCGAGGCGCGGCGCGGAGCCGGAGAAGGCGCGGGCGCAGGGGCGCAGGCCGAGGTCGCCCTTGACGGAGGCGAGGCGCGGCGCGGAGCCGGAGAAGGCGCGGGCGCAGGGGCGCAGGCCGGAGACGGCGCGGGCGCGAGGGCGCAGGCCGAGGTCGCCCTTGACGGAGGCGAAGCGCGGCGCGGAGCCGGAGGTAAAGCTATGAAAGCTGAAGCGTGAGGCACTGGCTGTGCGATGTGAGTTGTCACTCTCGATGACGGAAGCGAGACTCGAGTACTCGACGGTGACGGCGGCGGCGACGGCGCTGGTGGCGGAGGCGCTGGCGGAGAGCTCGGCTACGGTGGAGGCGGCGGCAGGGCGCGCCCAGTCGTAGTCGAGGGCGGCGCAGGCATCTCGCGCGCTGGCCTGAAGAGCGCCGGCCGTGCGAGGCGAGTAACACGCTCGAAGACGAAGGCGAGACTCGGGTCCTCGACGGTACAGCTGACGGCGACGGCGCTGGCGGCAGAGGCGCTGGCCGATCGCTCGGCTCCGGCGGAGGCGGCAGAGCACGTCCGCTCGGAGTCGAGGTTGGCGCAGGAGTCTTGAGCACTGGGGAGACGAGCGCCGGCCGTGCGAGGCGAGGCATCACGCTCGAAGACGAAGGCGAGACTTGAGTCCTCGACGGTACAGCTGACGGCGACGGCGCTGATGTAGCAGATTCTGAAAAGGTTCCACCAGAGCTTGCGTGTGGCGGCGGCGGCTGGCGCCTTGGCTGGGGCGGCTGTGACTGGCGCCTCGGCCTCCCTTTGGGCAGAGGCCTCAGCTGGTTGGTTGGCCTTGTGGGCGGCGGCCTCGGCTGTCGCCTCGGCTCCACCTTGGGTAGTGGCCTCGGCTGTCGCCTCGGCCTCTTGTGTGACAGCCTCGGCTGGCGCCTCGGCAGCCAGGTCGGGGGCTGCGCCCCCTTCCCCCGGGCCCCCCCACGGTCGGCGCCCCGGAGGAGAGGTCCGACAGGAGGCGTCGGCGTCGGCCCGCAGGCGCAGCCGATGGCAGGATGAAGGACGCAAGGGGCAGCTGACGGCAACGGAGCTGGGCGGCGACCGGTAGACTCGACCGAAGCACACCCCCCCAACACGAGATGGTCCGCATCGCCGGCACCTTTGTTTTGGGCTGGGGCAGGGTGGGAGATTTGAATTTGAAGTTGAATTTGAAGTTGAGTTGCGCCGTGTCTCGGCGCCGGCGATGAAGTTGTTGATGGACGGACCTGTGACGACGGTTGTAAACCATCCATCGGTCTGCCTTCCGGGAGCGCCTGGCGGCCGTCCTGGAGGCTGTGCCGACGCAGAGGAGCTGGTGAGCGCAAAATGGCAGGCGCCGTTGATGGAGATCATGTCTGGAAGCGGCTCTGAGGGGACTGGCACTGGTGTTGGTCCAGAAACAGCGACGGCGAGGATGACGGTGAGCAGGATGGTGAAAACGCAGTAGACTCCGGAGCCGAAAGCGACGCGAGTCTTGGCGCGAGCCACGCAGGCCGCAGAGAGAGCGCAAGCGGCGGTGAACCGCTCGCGAGCGCACACAACGAGCCGGCGGGCGGCAGTGAGAAAGTAGTGGACAAAGTCGACGGTGACGACAAAGATGGAGGTGGCGATGGAGAGGGCGAGCTGGATGATGGGCGGCGCTGAGCCGAAGATGGCGCGGGCGCAGGGGCGCAGGCCGGAGACGGCGCGGGCGCGAGGGCGCAGGCCGAGGTCGTCGTCGAGAGTGACGGGATCGGCAGAGTAGTCGGTGATCGGATTGGCCATTTTTTCGCTGCTGGGCGTGGCGGAGATGTCCGCCATGACCTCGGGGGTGGAGTGCACCTCACCGTAAGGTACCACGTTTGAGCGCGGAGGCTCAGAGCCGGAGGGTGGCTGGCTGAAGGATTGTAAAGGACCAGAAAGGCACGACGTCTAGGACATCGCGACAAACAAAACGCGCCGACTAAGGGACGTCCACGTGACACGATTGTGGCACAGAGGGTGTGATGCTGGAGTATCGACATTCATGGGGCACGGCGCAGGATGCGCCGTGCTAGTACACCGTGTGTAGCGTGTGTGAAGGGTAGCACAGGCGTCCGAATTCAGACGTGGGAGAGGCCCTTACGGGTCGTATATCCCGCTTCAACGGCGAGAGAGAGCCTCTTCCGCCGCCTCCCGGGCCGTCTCGAAGGGCCGACCAGCCCACGCCACGAGGCGCTGCTGGCGGGAGCCAAGAAGGACTCGTAAAGGCCTCAGAGTGCCATCTGAAGCGGGCGGCACTGGACACTGGTGGGGCTAGAGGGGCTGACTGAGCGCCGGTGGGGCGGCTGAAGCTTGCCTGGCACGGGTTCTCGCGGCGCGTCCGTGTACCACGCGTCCAGGGCGCTGTTCCCACACCGCTCTGAGCGACAAGGGTGTGCATGGCGCGGTCGAGGAGCGTGTCTGAGATGATCTATAGCGAGCCTCTCGCACGTCCGGTGAGCGGCAGAACCGGCCATCCCGCACGACGACGGCGACGCGTGAAGGTGCGCACGCCATAAGGCAGCTGCGGGCCAGCACGTTGCATGGGATGATGGCGGCTGAGGGGGCCTGAGCATCGACGCGCCGCCGACAATGCACCTGAGGCCGCAAACGGCCAGGAGCGCGTCAATAGCTTGAAAAAGGACAAAAAGGTAACCGGATATGAGGCGCCAGTCGGCGGGCTCCTTGAACCACAGCTTTGGCTCTTGGCACAGCGTGCCCGACGCCGTTCCGCGGATCGAGTGGCTGCTGGTTCGAAGCCCCCGTGGCCTAATGGATAAGGCGTCCGACCCCGGATCGGAAGATTGTGAGTTCGACTCTCACCGGGGGTGTTTCATTTTTGCCCTTTTCTTTACCGCCCCTGTGTCTCACCACAGCGCAGAGTGTCTGATGACTTTGGAAAGCTTTTGCCCTTGTTGTCTTCTATTTCTTTGTGTTTGTCCGTCAGACTTATCGATAATATTGATCGGCCGCGACCCGATGCACGCCTCTTGCTTCCGCTCTGTGTTGGCCCCTAAAGTGAGCTCCCCTAAGAAAAGAAAGAAAGAAAGAAAACAGACACGCCAAACGAGGGATAGGGGAGGAGGACAGGGTCCCCACCTGCACGAGCAGGATTTTGGAAGGACGATCAGGGGGACAGGTGGGGCTCTCCTCCCCTAAGAGGTGCCACCGCCTGTGCCGCCGGACTTTTACTCGCGATCCGCGACGTTCGCCCGTCCCTGGCCGCCCTCTCTCTCCTCCTCCCCACCGCCACCCCACCTACACCGCCCGACGCCCCGCGCACTCCTCACCATGTTCGACGCCGAGCGCGCCGCCGCCAGCCAGCGGCGCGCCGAGCTCTCCTCCATGTGCCGCACGCTGCGCGCTGCCGACGCCGAGGCGCGGCTGACCCAGATCCCCGCGGTGATGAAGGCCTTCCAAAAGGAGGTCGAGCGGCTGACGCAGCGGGCGGTCGCCGCGGAGGACGCCTGCGAGCGGGCCGCCGCCGCCACCGCCACCAGCCCGCCGCCGCTCAGCGAGGCGGCGCTCCGGCAGCACGCCGAGCTCGAGGCGGCGACGGCGCGGGCGGCGGCGGCGCAGCAGGAGGCGGCGGCGGCGCAGCAGGAGGCGGCGGCGGCGCAGCAGGAGGCGGCGGCGGCGCGCGAGGAGGCGGCGGCGGCGCAGCAGGAGGCGGCGGCGGCGCGCGAGGAGGCGGCGGCGGCGCAGCGGTCCCTCGCCGCCGCGGCGGCCGAGGCCTCCTCCTCGCGCGGCCGGCTCGAGTCGGAGCTGGACGCGGAGCGGCGGGGCCGGCGCGAGGAGGTCGCACTGCTCAAGGAGGCGGCGGCCGAGGCGGCGGCCGAGGCGGTGGGCTCGCTCGAGGCGGAGTCCGAGGCGGCGCTCGCAAAGGCGCTCGCCGCCGCCGCCGCCGAGCACGCCTCCGCCCTGCAGCGGGCGGACGCCAGAGCAGAGGCGCGCGCCGCCGTCGACGCCGGCCGGCTAAAGGAGCTTCAGGCGCAGCTCGAGGCGGCGGCCGAGGCGGCGGCGGCGGAGCGGGCCGCCGCGGGCGCCGCCGCGGGCCGCGAGCGCGAGATGCGGCTGCGCGCCGAGGCGCTCACCGCCGAGCGAGTGACGCAGGCGCAAGAGGCGTCGCTCGCCAAGGAGTCGGTCGGCGCGGCGGAGGAGAGGCGGGCGGAGGCGGAGGCGGCGACGGCGGCGGCGGAGGCGGAGGCGGCGGCGGCGGCGGCGGAGCGGGGCGAGGCGGAGGCGGAGGCCCAGCGCCTGCGCGAGCAGCTCGCCGCGGCGCAGGCCGAGCTCGAGTCGGCGAGCGCAGCGGCGGCGGACGCCGACGGGGCGCGCGCCGCGGCGGCCGGCGAGGCAGCAGCGGCGGCGGCGGCGCAGCGCGGCGCCGAGGGGCGGGCGCAGGCGGCGCTGGACGAGCTCGCCCGCTACAAGGGCATGGCCGCCATGGCGCTGCGCTCCAAGGATGACGAGGCGGCGGCCGCCGCCGCGCGTGCGACGGCCCTCGAGGAGGAGTGCGCGCAGCTGCGGGCGGCGGCCGAGGCGGCGGCGGCGGAGCGGGGCGAGGCGGCGGCGAGGTCGGCGGCGGAGCAGTCGGCGGCGGCGGCGGCGGCGGCGGGCGAAGCCGCGGTGGCGGAGCGGGCGGCGGCCGACGGGCGGCTCGCCGAGGCGGTGAAGCCGCTGGAGGAGGAGAGGGGGGCGCTGCAGGCGCGCGTGGCGGCGCTCGAGGCGGAGCTGAGGAGAGCGCGGTCGTCGCCCGCCGCCGCCGCCGCCGCCGCCGCCGCCGCCGCCGCCGCCGTCACGCCCGAGGCGACTCCGACGCGGCCAGTGCAACGGGGCCGCCCCGGCAGCGGCGGCGGCGCGGCGGCGGCGCCGTCGCCGCCGGACCTCGAGGAGGGCGGCAGCGCGACGCCGCTGCTCGCCAAGGGGGCCAGGGTGGCCGCCAGCGGGCGCGCCACCCCGCGGAAGGTGCTGCTCATCGTGTACATGGTGGCGGTCCACCTGGCGCTGCTCGCGTCCCAGGCGTACAAGCTGCACGCGCACGCATGCCCGCCCTAGGGACACTCCCATGCGTCGTACGATGTGAGGGGCGGCGAGCTGGTGGCGTGGGAGAGAGGGAGGCTCCCGCGTGCCGTTCGCCATGCCCCTCTCAGTGTGAGGATGTGGCGGAAGAGCCGAGGCCGTTTGGCATGTCGATCTTATGTGAGAGTGAGAGTGGTAACTGGTATGTGTGTCCGCAGCGCGGGAGCGCGTGCGAATTCGAAACAGACCAATGGAGTACACCCTGATCCCTGTGCGATAAAAGCTCTGGGCCGGCGCGGGGGCCCCAGAGCCCAGAGAGGGTGTCCATGCGGGGGGGAGATGGGGTCCCATGGCCCGCCGCAGGCGCCGATTTTTTCGGATTGTTTTTCTTTTTTGGCGATTTTTACTTGTTTTCATGGGAATTCGGCGTACTTGCGGCCATGCTATCACGCCTTGCGACAGCCTGTCGGCGCAGCTGACCGTGTCATGATGCACAATTGATCACCTGCATAGCTCGCGGCCTTAGTATCAAGTATTCAGTGACGACCTGATCGTACGGCCAGTAGGAAGGTGTCCTTCCATCGTGTGCACGCTTCTAGCTGGCGCAATGCGCGTCACCTCGGATTGGCTGCTGGCACTCTCGAGGCTATGCCTACACAGCCTCGCGCGCATGGGCAGTCAAGAGGGACCACGCACCTTCTCAGGACAGCGCCGGTGCCTCTCTCTTGGACCGGCAAACTTGGTGGTATCGTGTCACCAATGTGGGACCAGTGCGGCATCGCGCCATCGACAGCTCTGAACTGCGCCTCACCACTGACCGGGAAGGCCGCCAAGTGGGCCAGCACAGGTCGCACATTGTGGCAGCAGTCAGCAGTGCATGGCTGATAGCTAGAGCAGCAGCGTCAGGGTCGCAGGGTCGGATCGTGTCAAGCCTCTCGCCCGGCCGGCCGCGTGCAGACGTCGGCCTGCGTCTGCTGTCTGGAGTGATCTGTCGGCGGTCAGTACGACCGATCAGGTCGGAGTTTTCTGATGGTTGGAGGGTCTATCTGTATGTACTCCTCGAGATCTTTCCAAATCTGCCCTCTACTTAACCGTCCTTAATCGGGAAGTCGGTGCTCATAGAGACTCATAGAGCCGGAGCCCCGTTTCCGCACTGCGGCGCGGCGCACGGTGCCTCCGGGGGGCCCCGCGCCGGCCCAGAGGATAAAAGTCGCTCGGTCGTACGGACTACGGTCCAACATGCCGGGCCAAATTCTTTTCCGAGTGCGCGCCAGTCCCGTGCCCAGTGTCGTGCGAGGGAGCTTTGTTCTGTAAAATTCTTTCGAGCCTGTCTGCTGCGAGCGAGAGTATCGTCCCGGAGGCACCTCGCCGTCTGGCCTTCGAATTTAATAAATTCCATGGTGGCCGTCTCCATGGATACCCAGCAGTATCTCCGCCGTACTCGCTCCTCGAGCCGCCGCGAGCGGGCACAGGGTGTGCCAGCATGTGCGCCAGCCCTGCCCACGCTCCTCCCGCGCTCTCGCGCGCTCTATGGCTTGCGCAGGCACGTTCGAGCGCCTCGGTGCGCAGCGTCAAACTGAGGGCCGGCGACAGCCCGAGGCGCGCCGGAACCCGCTGCCGCGTGGCGTGCCGCCCCGATCCACCCCAAGGGTCAGCCCGAGGCCGATTGGGCCGCTCCCGGAGCACTCCGTCTCGAGGAACCCCCCCGCACTTTTGCGGCCTCTCGCCACAGGCTCACCGCCCCTACATGTGGCCACCGGGCGAGAACGATGGTGCGCTGGTCGCTCCTGCGCGTGGTGTGAGCGCCGTGTGACCGGCCGCACTCTCTCCCGCGCCCGACGCGCGCAGGTGCAGCTGGCCGCGACGCGCATAGCGCTGCACACGCACAAGTTGTGGCGGCGGCGGCGCACCCGGTCCTCCTCGCCAGACATGAAACGCGGCGCTCCATGCGGCGGCACCGCATTCGTGGCTCTCTGGTCTGTGCGCGAGGCGCCGACGGCGCCGTCGAGGCCACGGTGGACGTTGCCTACACGTGCTCGCTGCGTGAGACTGCTCACTGCGCGCGACCACCCAGTGCTCCATCCGGCATCCGACGTTCGCGAGAGTCGCCGCCGACGCACAGTTTACTGTGAGCGCCGCGGCTGACGGTGATATGACTTGAACTTTTGTGTGTCCCCATACATCGCTGCACGCTGCTGTGACGCGACGACGCTGTCTCGAGAGTGAGAGAAAGAGTGAGATGTGACGGCACGGGATGTGAGGGTTGCAGCAGTTGGCTTGGTAGTTGGTGTATTCACGTCGCGTGCGGTAAACGCGTGCGGTATACACGCCGCGTCGCATGAGTGTCCATGATGACGGGCGGCTTCGTGGTACCCATACCGGCGCGACCAAAGAGCTCGAACCCGCGAGCCGTCGGGGACGCGCGATGGCCACCGTTTCAGGAAGCACCCGCCGCAGCAGCCAGGTGTGGCCCCGCCGCGGCGACACACGCCTCACGCCGCCGGGAGAGAGGAACGTGTGACCCAACGCGGCCGCTCGCTGCTCGATCATCTCACGCCGCATGCTGTGTGCCGGTGCAGGCTGGCGCGCGTGCCTCGTCGAGCGGCAGCAATGTGGGTCCTGCTGGCGGCAGCGACCGGTGGGCGCGGCGTCTCCTCCCGCGTGCCAGCCTCATCTGTCCGTAGGAGTAGCTCGCTGCCGCCGGGGCCGACGGTGGGAGGGCGTGGGAGCAGTGAATCAAGACCCGCCGCTCCCTCGCAGGCGGTGCCCGGCGGTCAATGTGGAGGTTGACCGCGAAAAGAAGGTGCTCGCTGCCGGCCGCCCGCACATGCTCGCACGCTAGGCGTCACTCTCGCTCTGATCCGTATATCGGTACGCGTGCGCAGGAGTACACGCTGAGCCTCAAGCTTTGCGCGCTGCCGACTTGCACTCGAGGATGCCACCAGCCTTGGACCTGCTCAAGGCCTTCCTGCGTGGACGGTGAGCACAGCTGCCTACACGAGAGCTGCACCGCGGCTGCGGATCGGCGGCAGTGCAAGCTCTACAAGCCGTCGAGTGACAGCAGCCCGCACCTTTGGTGGTCATTCCCGCCCCAGGCCGAGCTGCAGCACGCCATCCCTCTGCCGGCTATGCTCGATGGCTACTCACTCGCCGCGCTCAATCTCCACGTGCGCTGCCGTCCCTTGTGCACACGGCCTGCGCTACGTGGGGACGGGACCAACACGAGTAGCCACGACTCCATGTGCCGTAGGTGTGCGAGACTCACGAGACGCACGTGAAGGGGCCGGGCGGGAAGAGGAACTCTGCAGCGCCTCGGAGGGAGCCCGAGCTCACCCACATGAACGTGGAAAGCGCCGTCAACGATCGGAAGGCGGTGACGCGTCGCGGCGACCGGCTCGCCCTCCTCGCGTGGCCAGTACACGTGGGCGCAGATTACTACCGCCACCGAGGCGGTGGTCCCGCCGGTCGGGCAGGCGGGCCAGCCGGTGCGCACCCAGAAGAACTTGCTGAAAGTCATCCAGCTCTGCGAGGCGCGGCTGCTGCAGTGGGCTCTCGCGCGAACCCCCGAGGCCAGCACGGCCATGCCCGACATCATCATCGCGATCAACGACAAGCTTCCCGTCTCGGTGTACAACGCGGCGGTCAAGGTCGAGGCGCCGGAGCGGCTGCCGAGGCTTGGGCGAGGGGGCGGCGGCGCCAAGCGCCAGTGCGTCACCGCCGCCTCGCTCATTTCTGCGCAGGAGCTGCAGGAGCAGTACGGTGTCGACCTGTCGGGGCTGGCTACCCTCGAGACGACGGACAAGAAGGGAGCCAAGGCCATCGTCTCGGGCCAGCTGCTGGCGCGTGCGAGCGACCGCGACGCCGAGAAAACGGCACAAAAAAGAAAATGGTTCCCCACGCTGCTCGAGCGGCTGCGGCTCGCTGTTGCGTCGGAGCTTGCAGGCGGCGCCGAGTCGACGGCAGCGGAGACGTCGACGGCGGCGGAGACGACGGCGGCGGCGGAGACGCCCACCGCGGCTGCGGCGGCCGCGGCACACGCCGGGGAGGAGGGAGGCGCCGAGAGCGCCGAGGAGGAAGAGGAAGAGGAGGGAGAGGAGGAGGCGGGGGAGGGAGAGGAGGCAGGCGCCGAGGAGGAGGACGAGGAGGTGTTCTTGTGCGGCGCGTGCGGGCAGGAGGACCCTCCCGAGGCGGTGACGACGGAGTGTGCTCGCTGCTTCCGGCGCGTCGCAAAGGCGGACACCGTCTGCGACGCGTCTGTGGACCGCAACGTGTGCAGCGGGAAGGAGGCGGAAGCTTGTGCGGCGGCGGCGGGAGCGATGGGGCGCGGCGGGAAGAGGCGCCGGCAGGCGACACAGGCGGCGCAGGAGACGGAGTGGATAGGGTGCGACGGACCGTGCGCTCGCTGGTTCCACACCTCCTGTGGCGCGGCGTGGTCCCGTCCGGTACGGACGACTGGTTCTGCCCGGACTGCCGCACGGCCGCCGAGTCGGACGATGAAGTGGATGTGCTTCCCGAGGGCCTCTAAACTAGTACAGAGTCACACATGCTTAACTACAAAAATCAGCGCCGCCCCTCGAGCACAAACTCGGGCACCGCGCACGAATTGAATTTGAGGTCCGGCGAGGCACCACAGTCCACACACAAAGCTCTGTGGGCTGAGCGCCGCGCTCGACCCGTCCGCCCAGCGCGGGAGGACACGCACACGGCCGCACTCGCGGCAAATGCGGAGCTGCACGCACTCCTCACCCACAGCATCGAGAGTGAGCCACGCCTGCCTGGGCTGCGGCGGCGGCGCTCCTGGGCGCCACACGCAGAGGGCGTAGGAGCGGCACTCCCAGAGGTACCCCTTCTTGCGCTGGTTGACGTCAGTGAACGGGTTGGGGAAGACGAGGCCGCCGCGTATGTAGTGGACCTCGTGCGCACCCTCGCCAACGAGGCTCTCGTACCACGGCGTGTGCGACAGGATAGGGAGCAGCGCGACCAGAGTGCAGCCCCGCGCGCGCACGTCCACCTCGACCAGCTTGCGGAGGTGCACCTCGAGACCCGCCGCGCCGTTGGCCATATCCTGAGGCGCGTACGCGGGGTTGGCGTAGACGATGGCGCCCGGAGGAATGACAGCACGCGCGAGGACGTCGTCCTCGAGCGTCGCGTACGCGCCGCACACCGCCGAGAAGGGCGTCGCCATCGCGTCAAAAGTTGGCTTCCAGATGCGGCGCACCGTGGCGACAACGGAGGCGGGGCTCTCAAACTGCTGGTGCATCTTGACGACAAGGACGGAGAGCGGCGGGTCCGCGGCGTCGGGCTCGAGCTCCCAGCGGGAGGCGCCGATGCGCCCGCCTGCCCTGCGGCGCGGCTCGGGCGTCGGGCGGCGGCGAAAATGTGCGGCTGCTCTTGCTAGGCGCGCCTGACGGCGCCGTGCTCGCGGTGCGACAACGCGTGCAAGTACTCATTGATACCGACGGCCGTGCGGGGCGCGGAGACTCGACGCCGGCGCACCATCCCTTGGGCCGCGGCCGCCTCGGGTACGTCAGGGCGCCGCCGCGGCCGAGGGCGGGTGCCTGGATGAGGGCGACCGCTGTCGTGGTCAGCTCTTGGTGGATGGTGAGGAACTATATCAGTGCACACGTGAGCGCCGGCGTGGCGCGCGCGGTGTGCGAACGGGCCGGGAACCCCCCCAGGGCAGCGCGCTCGCAGACAAGAGCCGACGATTGGCGCGGCACCACGCGCCTGGTCGCCGGCGGTCCGGCGCGAGCGTGTGGTCCTCGGGCGGGCCGGCATCATTCGTCGCGCTGGTCGCCGGCTTGTAGGCGTCGGGTGGTCAACGGGGACGGGCGGGTGGCCGACGACTTGAATGGCAGCTGGCCCGACATTATAATATAAGGTCTTGACCGAACGGCGAGGTGCCCCCAGGACGTATGCGTTCTAAATTCTTTTCCGTGGAACTTCCGGACGCACGATGCTATGCCCGTCGAGCGCCGAGTCGTCGTGTACGAGCTCCTATCGGCGCAAATCTCACGCCACCAGTGGACTCGCCCTGCAGGCCTTGATCGGCTGCAGTGGGATCGGCCGAGCGCCTCGGCACAGGGTGGCCTGCTCGAGTTCGAGCTCGACGCAATCCTGACTGGGACCGCGGTAGCAGACGTGATGCCATTCTGCCTGGACGTGCCAAACGGCCGGCTCATCCTGCTCGAGGTTGACTCTCTTGCAAAAGTACACGCTGCTCCATTCGAGGACCGAGCAGTGCCGCTGCACGCCACAGGCCGCGTCTTTGCTCTGCCGTTTGCAGAGGCGGAGCGCTGGGCATCCGCCGTGACGCCACCCCGTGCAGTCTTCGTGTGGAGCGTTGGCCGCTGCGGGTCGACGTGTCTGCACCGGCTGCTGTGCGCCGCCGGCGTCGGCTGCGTGTCTGAGCCGTGCTGGTTTGACGACCTGTGTCGGATGAGGATGAGTGGCAACCCACCGAGCAAAGAGCTCGTGCGAGCCCTCCACCTGATCCACTGGGCCAGCGCGAGACGACTCTTTCCAAAGGCCACGGCCTTTGCAATGAAGCCGAAGAGCTATGGCCACCAGCTCCTCGTTACCGTCGCCGCTGCCTTTCCCGCAGCGAGCCACCTCTTCGTCTACCGGGACGCGAGGCAGGTGGTTGGATCCTTCGGCCGCCACTACGCCCTGCAGCAAGCCTCCGGTGCGCCCGAGCGCGCGCCTCCATGTCCACTGCGCATGCGCTCGGCGCACGTGGCGGCCGCCCTGCGCACGCACGCTCCGCCGCCTAGCCTACCGGCGCTCGCGGTCTCCTTTGGGGCCGACTGGGCAGATGCGATGGCGCACTGGAAGGATGAGGCGGCGGCGCTCACCGGCGGGAGGACCCTGCGCTTCGACGAGCTGAGAGCTTCTGGCGGCCAAGAGCGCCTTTTTGCTTCGCTGCTTCGTTGGGCGGGCGTGCCCGTTGAGACGCGCACGCTCGACGCAATGCGCGACGCAGCGGCGCGCGACTCGCAAGAGGGCCACATCATGGCGGGCGCGGCGGACGCCGAGAAGCGCTTCCTGTCTGACGAGAGCGCCGCCGCCCTCGTGTGCTGGCTGCGCACCCTCTCGGGGCTGGATGCCGACGCGGTGCTGCCCGGATCGCTGCTGGCGAGTTGCTGAAGAAGGTGACAAAGAGAACTTAAAGGCGGTCTGACGAAACTGCCCGATTAGGGGGCCTATAGGCTATAATTATAGCGACCGATCCAGGCATGAGACTTGTCTCGTGTCCTCGAACCTCGTCCGGTCCGCGGACATGTCCGCGGAGCGCCGGTGCGGGCCGGTCAGCGCCGGTCTCGGTCGTCGTCTCGCGGCGGGACGCGGTCCCGGCTCCCCCGCGCACCACACAGTCACAGGAGATAGATCAGGGTCACAGAGTGTCAGACCCTCAGCCTCAGTGCACAGTGGTGTTACAGTGCGCTCTCAGTGTCAGTCGCTCAGAGACAGAGTACAGAGACGCGCGAGAGCCAAGACAGTGATATACGCAAGACGGCTCTTGTAATTGTATGTTGTATGTCATTGTATCATGTCATGGGCTGAGCGTGTGAGCCATGTGTGTATGTGTCACTGTCAACCGACAGACCGCGCAACAAGAACAACACACTCTACTCGGTCTCCGTCCGACATACCATCCGAGACGGTGGTCACTCGGCCTCTGACGCGACCCACGACGCCAGACGTACACGGCCATGGACGAACAACTCTATTACAGTGCGGCGTGGCGGTCTTACCCCGGACGCTCGCGCGTCTCTCTCTCAGGCCCACCGTTCGGGAAGCTCTGACCTCCTGCCGTGGCGCCCAAGCACACACGCACATGGCCAGAGCGGCATGTAGTTCCCGCAAGGTCCCTCTCTTGGCCCGCCCTCGCCATGCATCGCGGCTACACCTCCTCCGCCTCGAGAGCGCGGGCGAACCCGGGGCGGCACCAGGTCGAGCCAACTGGCCAAGCGAAGCGCCTGCATCGCGAGGTAAGGGAGGGGACGGCTGTCAGCGCCAAGGCGGGGCGAGGAGGCGTGGCGACGGGGTGGCGAGGGCGAAATCGCGCAGCTGCTGAAGGTGACTACTCGCGCGCCAGCGGCAGTTCGCCCTCGGGCCGCACGAGAGGCGCAGCCAGCTCCAGCGGCAGGCCGACGCGCCGGCAGCGCATCCCTCCCCGCGCGGTGGCGGCGCGAGGAGCCGCTGCGTCGGTCCGACGAGCGGCGGCACCGCCTCGGACACGGGCGCGGCGGCACGCAGGCAAAGGAGGGCGAGGCAGAGGGCGAGGAGAGCGGCGAAGCAGGCGGCGAGGGGCGCGCGCGAGGAGGTGTGGCCGCGGCCGCGGCGACGGGGCGAGCCGACACGCGGCAGGGCGGGAGGCAGGGCGGGAGGCAGGGTGGGAGGCAGGGTGGGGCTCGCCGCCGCGCTCGCCGCTTCGATATGGGCGCCGCCCTCTGCCGCCTCGCCGCCTGGTGCCGCTCCGACGACCCGCGACGGGCGCAGCCACTCCTCCGGCGTCCAGCGGCTCGCCTCCTCCTCTGCCGGCTCGGGCGGCGCGATTCGCGCCTCGAGGCGGCCCGTCCAGACGCCTACCAGGCGGCATGCCAGGCGGGAGAAGGTGGGGCCATCCAAGGCTGCAGGGGAGGGACTCGGCAATCTCGGGGCTGCGAGCGCCTTGCTGGGGCGGGCCCTTCTTCGTCGTCTTGACCCGCGCGAGCTGCTCGGCGAGCTTCGCACCGTCGTCGGACCACACCTTGCGGGGGAGCAGGAGGGGTGTGCCGGCCGAGGCGTGCGTGGGGTGAGCCGGAACCGACTGCGCACCGCGAGCACAACAAACTTGGAGACGCCGCCGAGCGACTCACGGACGAAACGGCTGCTCTTCTGCAGCACGACCTCGATCTCCGCCTCCTCGAGAGGCTCGATCCGAGCCAAGTTTGGACTGACGCAGTAGTCTGCGGGCTCAGTCGTCTTCACCTTGAAGCCGACCGCGCGCGAGTGCGGGTTGCGTAGCACCTACTCGCGCACTGACCCGTACTGCCTATTTGTCAGCCGGACCCCGCCCCCCGTGTGATCGCTAGGTTGCGTAGCACCAGACGGGTCCGCCTCGTCTCCGCCGTCGAGGTCGCAAGGCGCAGCTCGGCCGGATGCACCACCAGCCAGGGCCGGCCCTCCTCTGTACGGCTCTCCTCGCCGGCGTGAAGGGACCCACCCGACGCTGTGCTGCGAATAGAGATGCAAAGCGAGCTGGCCGCGCTCGCCATCGGCAGCACGGCAAGGCGCTTGGGCAGCGCCTGCGCAAGAGCCAGGAGCGAGACGCGGCTCTCGCCCGTGATGCGAGCGATAGCCTCCACGCTCGCCGAGCCCCCGCACTTTTGGAGCGCTGCCTCGATTGCGGCGAGCGAATGCGCCGTCGCCGGGTCGTCGAGGCTGCGCGTGCGGCGAGCGTCGAAGGGCGCCGATGCAAAGCGCACGAATTTGGGCGGCTTGGCGTTTACCGTCGACGAGGGCGCGACGGTGAGCGGCTGGCGGTCTCGGTCCATCGATCCCGAGCAAGTCGGCTGCTTGAAAAAGCTGCCGCCCGAAGCTTTCCGCAAAAGAAAACGCGCCTAGGCTGCGCTGCAATTTGCTTCCGTGCGTCGCCCGTCTCTCCTGGAGATTTCTGCTCTAATTGTTTATATGCAACTTGATTTCTCCGCTGTGGCGTCCCAACCGCAGGCTGCGGCTCGTCAGGCATTGAGGCATAGCCCCGTTTCGCGGCTAAATACGCCGTGTCTCGCTTTTTTCTTGATGATTCGCCTCTTTGTTGAGTGAGACCCGGTCGATTGATGCTGTGCTCAAACCCTTGAGGAAGGCGCCATGTCTGTGAGCATGGCTTTGTTCCCGCAAGAGCCTCATAAAAAACGCGCGAAAAACTCGAAACGCATCAATTCGCATAAACAACGTCCAACGTACAACGAGCGAGAGGCTACGTCAAGTCACAGCGATCGGAGCGTGGGGGCCACTACCATGACGGGATCTTCGGCAAACGAAACAAAGTTCAACCTGCTTCTCCACGAGACATTCGGCGGTGGCTTCTCGCCGCCAAGCAGTTGCAAAGATCAACCGCCTTGCGCGCAAGCGGCAAGGCTCAACGGACAACGCTCGGGCGTTGAGACCGCACCGCGTACCCTCCCCACTCCCGCCTCTCATTTGTGTCACACCACGCGGAACGCATCTCCATCGCTTCGGTGAAGGGGGTGAACCGCGCCATCCTCGATCGCCGTGCAATGCTCGCTTCCAAGCTCTCACGCCGCGCGTAGGGCCATTTAGGGGCCTAGAGAACACAACCCCCCCTCCCTTTTCTCCCAGTAAGCTAAAAGTACGTACAGTGGGTTGCGGGCATTAAGCAAACAGGATTCCGCGGCACGCCGCCGTTTCCACAGCCCTCATCCACCCCACGCCGTGGTTTCTTAGCTCCGGCCGGCACTCAAGCCAGAGCCGGCCCGAAGGCTAGCCCGAAGGAGTTTTAGGTAAGAGGTAAGCTGCGGTCCGCGAGGGCGATGCCAGAGTCTGCCGCCGAGTCTCGGCTCTCCTGGATGACGGGAAGACGCACACACACGCCTCCATCCACACACTCCACTCAGAACACCGCAGACTTGGAAAGTGACAAGACTTGGAAAGTGACAAGTGCGCGCGCCGCAGGCGAAGAGAAATTTTGAGCTGGGGCTCCCCCGTTCACACTCGTGGGTGGCCTTTTCTCGGGGCCGCGCCTGCGGCGCGCCGTGGTTTCTTAGATTTTTGCGGAAATCGCTCGGCGTGGTTTCTCAATGCTGTTTTCTTAATGCCCGCAACCCACTGTACAACGAACACAACCCCCTCTCCCTTTTGTCCCAGGAAGCTAAAAGTACGTACAACGAACGCTTCCTGAGGATTCCTTCCCGAATCCGATTGGAACGGTGCCATAATGACTGCCAATTGTAATAACTGAGCCGCCCGTCGCCCGCCAAACTTCTCTCATAATGTGTGACAGAAACGCGCCGCCTTGCTGGCAAAAACTGTCTATTTGCGACCGCAAAGTTTTTGCGCTGCAGCAGAGGATTCCAAGCGCTGAGAAGGCGTGAAGCGTGTCTGTCCTCGACACCGGTCGGAGCGGACAGCATGGGCCGAGGGGTCAGCAGAGGCGGTGTGTGGGTGGCCCTCGCTGGCGCAGTCACCTTCGGGAGCGTCGGCGCTGCGACAGTGGCATCACAACGCAATGCGGCGCTCGGGTGACCGTCCAAAATGCCAGCATTCATCCATGACTCTGCTAGAGGCCGCAGCGCCGCTCTCCGCCTGCTGGCTGGCAGCTCGACTCTCCCTGCTTGCCGTCCCCTTTCCTCTCACGGGCCCAGCGGCATCCGTCAAGCCTCCCCTCTGCTCCTTGCTTTCAGGAACGATCCGGTGCCGACCGTCCACCTCTGCGTGATGAGCGATCGTCTTCAGATGATGAGCGCTGCCATGCAGTCGGCGTACGCCTCAAAGAGTCCACACACAAACCTCCACTGGCACGTGATCTCCTCAGTCGGACCGGAAAATGTGCGTGGGCCCGGGCGCCGCCACCTCCCGCCGCCGCCCAGGCGCGCGTAGCCCTGCGTCCCCTTCCGCGACTTGCAGGTTCTCGACGCGGTTTCGCGAGCAGGCGTGCCGCCCGGAGACGTGTCGGTGCTACGGCTTTCAGCGGCAGAGGCGTCCCTGGTTGAGCGCGGCGTCGACCCGGTGTGGACGTGGAGCGACTGGCAGGACTGGCTCACCGCGCCGGCCTCCGAGGAGCACAAGTGGAGGACAAACGCGTCGCTGCTTCCTGCTTTCGCGAGCCGGGAGCCAAAGTGGCCGCGCCCTAGAGCTTCCCTCTTATTGCAACCCATCCGACGCCAGCCAGCAGCACAAATCGAGGAGTGGCTAGCACACTCGCACCACGACGAGCCCCGCCTCAGGCACGCGCACCCGCTCAACCTACTCCGCCTCTACCTCGCCGAGCTGCCTGCGCTGCAGCACCTCGACCGCATCCTGCTGATCGACGACGACGTTCTGTTCCAGCGCGACCTCGCCTCGCTCTTCGAGACGTCGATGCCCGACGGCAAGCTGTTGCAGGCGTCGTGCGCGATGTACAAGGTGAGGCAGGACGAGGACGGCAGCCGATGGCTCAAGCTCTCCCGCGCAGAGTGAGCCCGCCCAGTGGCCTCCTACGGCTTTCCCAGCGCGATCGCCCGTCCGACACGTCCCGGTAACACACAGGTACACCTACGACCAGACGCCCTTCATCGGCTCCATTGGACCGGTTGCGTACTCAGCCTGCAGAGACGGCGCCATCGACGCCGAGGCGGCGACCGCCGTGGTGGCGGGTTGGGGAGGGGGTCGGCGCGTTGCTCTCAGCCGCGAGCCCTGCTCTTCGCAGGTTGGCCCTTGCGCACCGCGGACCTTGGCGCCGCTGCTAGCATCCCTCGATGCCGACATCAACTCCGGGGCCAAGTGCGGCTGGGACGAAGGGGGAGACTCTTGTCCAACCCCGCTCTGACCCCGTGGCGCCCGGGCTCGGCTCGCAGGAGAATGCCACTGGGCAAGGAGCTGGCGTGGAACTTTGGCGTGGCGCTGCTTCCGCTCGATCGCTGGCGCGCGCAGGGCCTCACACAGCGAGTGACGCGCTGGTTCGATGCCAACTCCAAGCACCGCCTCTTTCCGCCCGATTCGGCAGATGACGATAGATGCGACGAGGGCGGAGAAGAGCACAGGCGGGGGACGTGTCTGCAACCCTCGCCCCACCAGCGTCCCTCGGCCACGCAGGTGGCGAGTGGTCTCGGTCTGCCCTACCTCATCTTCAAGGGTTCAGTCGGCTGCTGGGCCGACGACACCGTCCTCGACGGACTCGGCTACGTCGACACCACCGACCTGCACAAGAGTGGCGTCTCGGCTAAGGACATGAGCGGGTGCCCACGCCCCTGCATCCCGCGATCCCCAGGAGCGCCCTGATGATCGAATGCATCGCCAACCTCTGTGCCCTCCCTGCTGCCACAGCTTCGCAGCTCTGCACTTCTCGGGTCCGTCAAAGCTCTCGCTTTCCGACATGGATACCTTCACGCCCGCAAGCATCGCTCGTGCCGTCGAAGACCACCTCCTTGACGCCTCCTCACGCCGCCGCCTCGACCCTTACGGAATGCTTCTTCCCATCCACCCCCCCCCCCCCCTCGATCACTCGATGAGTGGATGCCCTTCTATGTCTCCAGGCGATCCCTATGGCGGATACATGCCCCCGCCGTCCACACCGCTGCCGACGTGCGAGGGGTGGTGCGACACAAACACCAGACCCTGGATCCGAAAATGCGGGAACGACGCATGCAAGGGCTGCCCCAATTGCGAAGCTCCATCTCCGCCTGCTTCTCCATCGGCAGACTGCGAGGGGTGGTGTCGTCGCCACACACACGTATGGACGATCAGGTGCACATTTATCAAGTGCAAGGGCTGCACCGAATGCTTGACGCCGCCGCCGCCGCCCTCAGCATCGCCGTCGCCCCCGCCGCCGTCCGTGTCGCCCTCGCCCCCGCCGCCGTCCGTGTCGCCCTCGCCGCCACCGCCGTCCGCGTCGCCCTCACCGCCTCCCCGTGCAGGGGATTACCCCCCATTGGTGCCAGACTACGCGCCTCCCTCGGCGGCCACGGGCCAAGTACCGACAACATCTCTCAGTGTAGCCGCAACCGCGGGAGACACTGTCCTCCAGACAGTCGACGAGACTGGCTTCGCAATCGGCGACATCCAAAGCGGCCATGCACAGGCTACGAACTCCCTTCAGGGCTGGCGGTGCGAATAGGTGACGAGATCCTCATCGGCTCTGGATCCAAGGAAGAAACAAACACCATCGCAGGATTCGGCTCCATCAACCTCGAGACGCCGCTGCTCAACAACCATCCAGCGGGCACCAAGGTCACAAAGGTTCTGCACGTCCGGGAACCTCCCGCACCCGTCATCGAGGCATCGCCGTCGCCGCCGACCGGCGGATGTGTGTGGACAAACAACCCCGCTGAGATTTGCATCTACGATCCCACCTGCGCGGAAGGCGGGCTCGGCTGCAACGCTGCAGGACACTTTCTGTGGAGATTCTGCGGCTTTGGACTGTGCGATGGCCCAAGAGCTTCACAAACCTTCCTTTAGCACGGCTCTAACAGTCGCAACGCGTATTAGGTATCCGCCTTGCCCTGGAGGCCCGCCATCCGCCCCGGCGCCGCCCTTTCGGCCAGAGAGGATCGACGACTGCAAGGTGTCGTGTCTAGCTACCGTGAGCCACCTAGCGTTACCCACCCGGGACCTTGCGGCATGCCTCCACTGTCTAGGCGGGCACCTGCACCGCCAACTTTCTGGAGACGTGCTACTTCGACCGCAGCTGCGCCCGGGGCGGCGGTCTCGGCTGCAATGCGGGCGGGAAGACGGCCTGCCGCTTTTGCGGCTTTGGGGCTTACTCGACCGTGCCGTGCCCCATGTGCGACGACTCTCCTCTGGGCGAGGCGGGCTGCACGTGCGGGAGCGCGGCCTGCACCGCGGATGTCCTCACCGCCGACGCTGGTGAGCGCGGCACCCTCGGCTCAAGCCCGTTCGCAGCTCACCCCTCCTCTCTTCACGGCCAATCTCTGAGAGCGCAACCCGACCCCTGCCGCACAGGTGGCGTCAGCTGCGCTGACCGCATCAGCTGGCTGCAAATGGCCGAGCTGGTGGAACAGGATGCTGCATGCGCGCAGGTTTGGCTGCAGACAGAGCCTTGCGCGCCGCTCACGGCAGCTCAAGGCGAACCTCGTACTGTAGGTGGCCGGGGAGTTCCCTGCAGCGTGCGGAGCATGCGCTCCAGCTTCTTGAGCGCAGCGCGCATAGTCACGGGGGAAACGAACCGAGGGGGGAAGGGGCAAGAAGTCGGCAGAGGGGCCACGCTAGGACCAGTCACCAGCGTCACGGGTCACGCACGCACACCCGATCACACCGCGCACTTGCGAGTTGCGTTCTCCAACGCAAGAGCAGAAGTGTCTCGAGAGCTCGCCGAGCGATGTCGGGCCAGGGGCGCGTGTGCTCTAGCAAGGCTTAGCGTCGGACACGTGTCTCGTGTGCTGGGGGCCTGCGCGCATCTGTGGACACCTCTGTGCTCTCCGCAGAGCTGGTCAGCTGCACCGTGCACGACAGTCGACACACGACCACACGCGCTCGAGAGCTCTCTCACACCGACGTGCGTAGAGGCCGATGACCGTGCTCCGTGGTCCACTTCAGAGCAAAAAAGCGCTGTGCTGTGCCCATGTGCATTTTTTAGTTTATCATAGACTCAACGCCCAATAGAGGTAGCTAGAAGGAGCGCTGCCTCGAGTCGCTGCAAGCTGCTGCTACTAGTGCTGCGGTCGAGCCCTGAGTCTGTAGCTCGTCGTCGCGCGCCGTCGAGAGCGTCGGCACAATCCTTGCGCACCGCACTCGGGAGGGTGCCGAGAAGTGCCGCCAATGCCGCCGGGAGAGCGTCGTCGGCGGTCGCCTCGGCGCCGGGCTTCTCGACGCGGCGCAACGCAAAATTGTGCACGTAGTCCCGGTAGAACTCGTGGCGCAGGAGCGTGGTGAGGCGCGCGCTCGGCAGTTCGCGGCACAAAGCGAGCGACTCCTCCGCCCCGCGCGGCGGCTGACCCAGGCTAGCGCACGCGAGGGCGAGCGAGGCCGCGCTCTCGGCGAGCGTGTACGCGTCGCGGGCAGAGGAGGAGGTGGGGGCAGAGGAGGAGGTGGGGGCGTCACCAGCGGCATACGCGGAGAGCGCCATCTCGAGCGCGGCTCGCGTGGGGCGGGTGGTCTCGCGCAGCAGCGGCCCGCGCAGCTCGTCTGGCGGAAGGCCGAGCGCCGCGGGCAGCGGCGAGACTGCGCGCCGGAGGAGCTCGGCGTCGCCCGGCCGCACCGGCTCCGCGCCGGCTCGCACTCCCCTCGGCAGCGCGCGAGCGAGCTCCGCACGAGCGATGCGGAGGGCGGCGGAGCGGCGGAGCCGGTCCGACCGCGCAGAGTCGGCCCCGATCCCAAACAAAGTGCGGATGGCGGCCGCCTCCGTCTCCGCCTCCAGGCCGCCGAGGAGGCCGCTCCCGCACACGACGAGGAGGGCGCCTGCAGCCGCCTCCTTTGCCGCAAAGGCGGGCGAGTCCGGGTCCGGCCGACCCGAGTGGCGCCTCGCCGCCGCAGTGGCAGCCATCCGCACCGCGGAGCCGCGAGGCCCGTCCTTGTGAGAGGCGAGGGCGCGCAGCTCCTCGAGCGCCGCGAGCGACGGCCGGTCCACGACGGCGTCGCAGAACTGCAGGACCGCGAGGCCGAGCGCAGCCTCGTGGTGCAGGGACGGCGCGGCGGAGGCCGCCGCGTCGGCCGAGCGCAGTCGCTTGAGGAGGGCGGCCGCTGGCTCTCGCACCGAAGGTGACTCGAGAGAAGAGTCCGGCGCGAGGTAATCGCCGGCTGGCAATCGCGTGCGCCTCCGCCAGCGAAGAGTAGGCGCGAACCCGGAGATGAGAACTGCCACTGCGACGGCTGCGCCGCCGACGCCGACTGCCGCAACCGCCGGGCTCTGGGTCGGGCGTGAGTGCGCAACGCGCATGAAGCGCGGCCGCTGCATTCTGTGATGCCGGGCTGCTGACGGACCAGAGAGCCGGAAGCTCGGCTCGGCGGCGACCGCGGCGGCGGTGAGGAGCAAAACGAGGTCGAGGCGCGACATTGGCTGTAGAGAGGCCAGGTTGTTGTCTGCCACCAGGGTCGTGCGGGGGGTGGTTCGCGACCAGTAGGGACCCCTCCCCCGGGCCCCGCTCTCAGTTGGGGCCTCCGCGGCCGAGTGGGAGATATTGGATGGGAAACGGGTCGATTTGCAAAGAAAGTGGGGCGCCGGGCCAGGCCGGGCCCGGCTCGGGCTCTGTTGGGCCCGGTTGGACCCGTGCCGAGCCCGGCCCGCGCGCCCTGCCGGGCCCGGCTTGCCCCTCCCGGGCCCGGCCCGCGCGCTTTGCCGGGCCCGGCTTGCCACTCCCGGGCCGAAGCGCCCAAATCAGCAGGTGCTCGACGGTTGTTCCGGCGGCCGTAGGAGTTGTCCTGCGGCCATGGCTGCTATTCCAGGGCCGTCTCCGCGGCGCATCCCCGCCCCGGCCCGACGGAATCGGTGGCCGGCGAGATTGCGCGCCAGCCCCGTCCGCCGCCGGCGCGGTGCGTCCCTGTCATAGCTACGCGCGCCATGGGGCGACGTGCCCGCCGTTGGCACTCTGTACGGTACACAGTAGCATGATCCATGAACTCCAACACTCACTGGTCACTGCGCGTCCAACTCGGTCTCGCAAAACGAACATGATCATGAAGATCGCGCTGATCTAGGTCTGATTTTAGTTTTTAGGGTTTTTACGTGAGAGAGACCCAACTCAGAAGGCGCCGCGCGCTCGAGCGCGACTGTCAGGACTCGGCACACAGGTCACGCAGCGGCCAGCGCGAAGCTTGATAGACGGCAAACTGAAACGCGAAACGGCCCGGGCGGGGCGCGGTCCCGCGGGGTATAGCTCGGCCGGAATACTGCGGAATGAGACGCCCTCCGCGCCTACTTGCTCGTGCGCGCCTCATTCGCCGCCTTGGCGATGGCGGCGACCTAAGGGAAGGGAAGTTAACGAAGGTCAGGTAAACGTCTCCACACACGAGGTGGTGGGGCAAGGGGCAAGGGGGGGCGACCCTCGCGACTCCACGTCTGGACGACAGGAGACCCACGGCATTCAAAGTGCAAGGCCCAGCGCGCGTGGGTGAGCGGTGTGGCCTGCCCGCGACTCGCCTCGGGTAAACTCGGGTAATCTCGGGTAATCTCGGACCTCGTCGAGCTTGCAGAAGGGCTCGGGCACAGTCCACTGCATCACTCTGGTCTCGGTGTTGTAGTACCACTTCCGGCCGTCCGCCTTGACGTACTCCTTCCAGACTCCCTCCTCCGGCGGCAGGGAGGGGCGCGGAGGCGAGTTGAGAGACGAGAGTTTGAGCGCGCTGTCTGCGCGGCGGTAGGCGAGGCGTGGCGGCTCGCCTGCCGTCCCTCCTTGCCCTCCTCGCGTTCGAGCGACATCTCCGCAAGGCCGGAGAGCTGGCTCATCCCCGCCAAGCTCGCCTGCGGGGCTAAATCTCGGGATTACCGAGCGGTGGCCATGGGCACGCCGGCAGCGAGTCGTGAGAGGCGATCGCCCTGCTGCGCTCGGCCTCGAGAGACTCGCGCGACGCCATCATCTTCCTGGGCGCGCCGCGGAGAGTGCAGATGGTGAGTCGCGTAGTTGGTGGGCGCATACGCCGGCGGTATGTGCTATGCGATAGCATTGTGGCAGTGCTCGCAAGCACCTCGCGACCACCGCTGTGCTCACAACTGCGCCAGTCAGCCCGGCGGCGGCGACCTTGTAACCGAGGACTGCGGCAGGCTGAGTCGATCTGCGGGCGGCTCCAGGTGATATCGTGCGCGCGGTAGGCGCGAAAGCCGCAGCACTGCCGCACGCGAGCAGGAAGACGAAAAGCTGCATATGTATGGGTGGCGTGTGCAAAAGAATTTTACTGTCCGCTCACTGTGCTTTCTTAAAATCCCTGTGTGGTGGCGGCGTGCCGTCCTCCCATCCCTCCCTGGGGTTGTATGTTTTCTTTCTTTCTTTCTGCTGTGGGGTGCACGCCCTCCGAGCGGGGCGGGGTCTGCCCGTCGGGTTGCTGCCCTAATCCCACCAGGGGTTGTTATTTATTTTACTGGGCACGGGACTGGCGCGCACTGGCGAAAAAAGAACATGAAATCACAGAGAGAGAGATTTTGAGAGAGAGATTTTAGACAACCAACAATCTTGAGATTTTAAAAACAAGAACAGAAAAGAACAAGGAACGAAATCGCCCGCGGGGAAGAAGGGGGGCGGCGGGCTGTGATCCCAAAGGGGTGCGTGTGTGTAAAGAATTTGTGCGAGCGCATGACACGACAAGGGCGTGGACTGGCGCAGACTTTACCGGCCTCGAAAGTCGAGAAAACAAGAGACGAAATGAGAAAGAAAGAACTACTATATGGAGAGAGAGAGAGAGAGATTTTTGACACCCCGTGCCGCTGCCTCCCTCCCCACTCTGCTCGCCTTCTGCCCTTCTCTCTTTTCAACCGACGCCTCTGCCCTCCCTCAGGCCGGCCAACTTGGAGCCAGCGGCCGAGGCGGTGGAGGTGGGCAGGCTGATCCTCAAGGCGGCGGAGTGGTCGCCGCAGTCTCACGAGCTCTTCCCGGAGGCGGCTCGCAAGCGGGCGGTCGAGGTGATGCGGCTGGGCTACCTGATCGCGTGGGACGAGGAGCGCTTTGAGGGCCGCGAGGGAGCGGCTCCGGAGCTGGCGGACATCTGGCGCGGCTTTGTGCTGCCAAGGGTGGTTGGTGGTGCGCTGAGGCGCCGAGTGAGAATTGAGAAAACGAGCTCCGTCTCAGCTGAGGGAGGTTGGTCTGTCTCACAGCTCCGAAAGTGCATGCGCGGGTCCCTTCTTTTATTTTTCCACGTGTGATTTCTTTTCAGCGGAGCGCCTCGCCGTTATCGCAGGAGTCGCTTAGGCGGCTCCCGTGGTGTACCTGTGTTAGTGCCAGAGGGAGGTGTTGTAAAATTCTTTTTGGCGCCTGCCCCCCTCTGCCCCCCTCACCACCCGACCCCCCTCTAGGGACAGCTCAAAAAAGAATTTCGTGATTTTGCGTCGTGAGTGCGCGCGTGTGCAAAAATGGGCAAAAACGGGGTGCTTTTGGTCATCCGTCAAAATATCTGAAGATCTGACCGGGGGATTCTCCCCAAACCTTGCTCAGCTGATCCAGCACGGGTCGTAGGCCAGCCCAGGGCAAAGAAACTAGTACCTCATCAGGCTTCCCTGAGCGTCACAGCTCGGTGATCGCGCCGGCCGGACACCACTGAGACGTCCGTTCCGGGCATTTGAACGCGACCTTCGGGGGCAAAGACATGGGCTCTATGGCTCAGACTGGACTCCTCTTGGTCCCTTCTGATGCCCTAGGCCACACCTGGGCCTTACCTGGGGTCCTAGGGGCCGGGCAGGGTTTGCCCCCCTAAAGGGGCCCGAAGAACCTTAACGTTTGACAACCCTAGTCAAGGGCGGCGGCGGTGACGGAGGCGGCGAGGGTGGAAGGGGGCGGATGGGCCAGAGTGGCGGCATGCAGCGACGGCGACGTGACGAAGGCGGGGGCGGCGGCGGGGTGGGAGGCGGTGAGGAGAGGGCGGCGGCGGGGGTGGTGGTGACGAGGGGGCGCGGCGGCGGGGGCGGGGGCGAGGGCGGCAGCGGCGAGGGCGGCGGCGAGGGCGGTGGTGCTGCACGTGGGGGTCACCAGCGCGGTGACGGCGCACCTCAAGTCGGGGCACGACAACAAGCTGGCGCAGGTCCAGGAGAAGAAGGAGAGGCGCAACCAGAAGGAGTCCGAGAAGGCGTCAAGCATGCGGCTACATCTCTCGCGGCGTCGGCGAGACCGCGCTCGCCAAGCTCCGTCCGCGACGACCGGCAGGTCTCTGCGAGAGCCCCAACCTCCCGACACGCACACACCTGTCTGCCCTCCCACTTGCTCAGCGCTCGTGCTCCCTCCCCTTGTAGGCCAAGCTGAAAAACGAGCTGATAAAAGTCAGAAAGCAGCCCCCCGCGACGCGCCGCTACTGAACGAGAAGCCGGACACGGTGCTCGCGCTGCTGCTGCCGTCGGGAGCGCGGCAGCCACTTCTCGCGCTGCCCTACGCACCTTCGCCGACCTCCACGCCATCGCGGATGGCGCTGCTCGCGCTACCGGCGCCACCGGCCGCGCCGGCCGCGCCGCTGCCGGCCGCTCCTGCTCTGTAGCAGCGATCCCTTGCGCAGGATCGCCCTCGGCGCCGCGGCTGGGGCCGGGGGAGACAGCGTGAGGGTGTCTGTGGTGGGTAGGGGCCCTTTGGCAGCGAGGGCGGCGGCAAGGGCGGCGGCAAGGGCGGGGGATAGTGTAAGAGATCTTGCGACGCGGTGACGGCAAGGGCGAGGGCAGCGGAGGGGGTGGGGGCGGTGGGCCGGTGGCGGCGGCGTGGGTGGCAGCGAGGGAGGCGGGCATGGTGGTGGTGGCGAGGGTGGTGAGAGCAGCGGCGGTGGAGACGGTGGTGACGAGGGCGGTGGGGAGGTGAGGCGGGGCGGCTGGAGGTGAGGGCGGCGGCAGGCCGACACGGGGTTGGAGGGAGCGGCGTGCGAGCCTGGCGACGCCTCGGCCAAGTGCGCAAGGTCCAAGGACAGTGGCAACGGAGGTGACTTGAGTTGTGGGTGATGCTAGAGGAGTGCAGTGCATGCTTCGCATCGGAACGCAAAGAAGAGCATGGAAGGCTCTGAGTATACAGAGACGCTTGCGGTTGCGCCGCCCGCTCCGGAGGCCGCATTCAGCCAGGAGGGGACCGCGGGAGTGCCCCCCGTGGCGGCTCTCGGAGAGGGCCTGGTGTGTCTGCGCAGTGGCCTGCGCGCTGCCTTGGGAGGGGGAGAGGGCGAGAGCGGCGGCATGCTGGAGGGCGGCGGCGGCGGCGAGGGAGGCGGCGGCGAGGGCGGCGGCGGCGAGGGCGGTGGCGGCGAGGGCGGCGGTGAGGGCGGGGGGGGGGGGGGTAGCGTAGGAGGGCGGCGGGCTCGACGGCGACGGCAAGAGCACGGGCGGCGAGGGCGGCGGCAACGGCAAGAGCACTGTAGCTAGCTCAGCCATCCTTAGGTAAGATGGCTGTGTAGGAGCCAGCACAGCCATCCTGGTGTTACATTTTGAGGTTAGCCCTGACTGAGACGGACTGCCCCTCGCATTACAGAAGACACATTTTCATGCGGCTACATTTCATTATAGCTTGCGACGACGCTCTGGCCTCTGCGCGCTGCGTGAAGTCCACCACTTACCAAGTCCACTTACCAGAAGTCGTTAGAGAGAGCTCGAGAGAGAGCCCTTCGACCTTCGTGCGTCGCAGCGGGGGAGAGCCGCTGCGCGCCGGGAGACCAGCACCAGGGCGCGTGCGCGCGTCGGCGATCTTGGCGGCGGTTCGCTCTCGCCGGTAATCGAGAAACAAAATAAAAAACAATCACCGAGCGCCACACTCCACGGCAGTCGGCACGCGCACCGCGCTCTTACAACTCTACTCTCTAGCTTTAGGTTTAGCTAGAGCGCGGCCTCGGCCCTCTCGGTCTCGCTCGGCGACGAGTCGCGGCCGGACGTATAGGAGCTCTAGACGAGCGCGACGCCGACGGCACTCATTCCCTCACGCCTGCTCTACTCCACCCCACACACGCTTCCCTTTCTCCAACTAGCTGCCCCCACCATCGGGTTGCCGACGCACGCGAGCGCGCCGGGGGCCACCCCGCCCGCACACGTCAACCAAACTTTTTCCGCTCATGCGCACGCATCCCCGCCCGCCGCGCCTTTTGGCTCTCCTCGGCGCGCCGCGCCTCTGCGCGCAGCTCCGAGAAGATCGCGTTGGCGATCTCCTCGGACACGCCCCAGATCGAAGCCATCTGCTTTGCCGACAGCTTCATCAGCCCGCGCCCGTCGAGCGAGGGCGACACGACGGGCAGCAGCGGGGCGAAGGCGCCGCTGCACGCCCGCGCGAGCCAGCCGCGCACGGCGGCCACGTCGTAGGTCTTTGGCGACGGCCGGACCGGCTCGAGGGGCGGGCCGACGGACTTGACCGCCTGCCTCGTCTCTCGCGTGACTCCGCTCTCGGCGCCGATCTGGCAGACGACGCGCAGGGTGGCGAGCGAGTGCTCCGCGTCCGTCGAGGCGGGCGAGACGGTGCCGATGACCGCCATCCGCGTGTCTGAGCGCGTGAACGAGTTTGCGAGCACGCGCGTGAGCGCCGACTGGCGGAAGGGGATGTGGACCTGCTGCCGCCCCGCCTCGGTCGCCACCCACTGGCGCATGCACTCCTGCAGCACGTGCAGCGACGCGTTGATCTCCGCCCCCTCCTTGCGCCGGTCCGAGTTGTGCGTCGCCGAGTCCTCCTTCCTCTCCGAGCCCGCGCAGTCGACAAGGGTGAGCACCGCCGCCGGAGGGCGCCGCTTGCCCGCGCACGGCCCGTCCGCGGCCGACGAGCAGAGCTCGATCGTGCAGACGGCGTGGGAGCGAGACGAGACGGCGTTGGCTCCGGTCGCGTGTGTCGCGCGGCGCGACTTTGCGGTGGCGAGCGCGGCGAGCAGCTCGCTCGAGGAGGTGAAATCGGCGGAGGAGAGCCTGCGGGGCGGCGGCCGGAGGGTCGGGCGTACCGCGCGCGGCGCGGCCCTCGCCCGCTCGAGGACCCGAGCGGCGAGGGTTGGTAGTGAGGGTTGCGTCGCCAGACTACATACTACGTGCAAGCCGCTTCACTACTGCGGACCCCAACACACACTACTGCGGACCCCAACACGTGCGTCACGCCGCTCGCGTCGTTGGCGAGCATCAGCTCCTTGCCGCGCTCGACGAGCAAGTCGACGCACCGATCGCCGCGCACCTGCGCGCGCGCGAGAGAGAGAGAGAGCTCAAGAGGGCCGCCACCGCACGCCTCGCGGGCCTCGGCCCTCTGCGCCTCAAAGTACTGCAGCCGCGCGCTTGCGGCGGCGCATCCCGCCGGCAGCAGCGTGGCGGCGGCGACTTGCTCGATGCCCGCCATCGTGTGCGTCTTGCCGGAGCCGGTCTGGCCGTACATGAAGGCGGTCGAGGCGCCGCCCGCCGCGACGTGCTCGAGCAGCGGCACGATGGCGGAGGCGCAGAGCTCGCCGTTGGTGGACGACTCTCCGAGGGCGAGGCCGACGCCTGCTCCGAGCCGGGCGTGCTGGGGTGGAGCTGCGGGTGGAGCTGCGGGGCGGTGCGGTGCGCGGGAGGCGCGGTGCGCGCGGGTGGCGCGTGCGCGTGTGCGCGGCGCGATGCGGTGCGGTGCGGTGCGGTGTGGTCGGTGCGGTGCGGTGCGGTGCGGTGCGGTGCGGTGCGGTGCGGTGCGGTGCGGTGCGGTGCGGTGCGGTGCGGTGCGGTGCGGTGCGGTGCGGTGCGGTGCGGAGGGCGCCAAACTCGTGGTGCCGCATGAACATGCCCTTGAGGTCGGGCGCCATGTGGCACACGTGGACCGCCGCCACGCCGGGCGACATGGACAGCGCGTCGAACTCGCCGCGCGCCGCCTCGTGCTCACAGAGAGGAGATTACACGAGATTACACGAGATTGCCCGAGATTACAGGAGATTACACGCCTCGTGCTCGAAGAGAGGCCGCTTGCGCGCGACGACGAGCACGCGCCGCTTCTCCGCGGCCGAGCCCTGCTGCTGCCCGCCGCACGCCCCCTCGGCGGCGAGGGAGCGGCGGACAGCGTCCTCGGCGGACGCCTCGCGCGCGAGCGGCAGCGGGCCGGAGCCGCGCGCCTCTCTCCGCGCGGGGACGGACGAGGAGGGGAGGGAGGAGAGGGGGGCGCGCGCGGCGCGCTCCTGCAGCTCAGCGCGCCACTCCGCGATGGCCGCGACAAAGGACTCCCGATTGTTGCGCCGGCACTGCCGCTTGTCGATCATCTGCCGCGTGACCGGATCGTCCGAGTCCGCAGCCTCCGGCGGCGGCGGCGGCGGCGGCGCGCTCACCCGCAAGCCAGGGCTGCAGCCCGGCCCCGCCGTCTCTGGCCGGCGGGGGCGGGCCGGCGAGCGGGGGCGGGCCGGCGACAAGGCGCGCCGGACCGGCAACGACGTGTCGGAGGGCGAGCGAGCGAGCGGCGGCCTGCCGCCGCCGAAGGAGGGTCGGGCGGCGCCGGCTCCGCGCGGCGCCTAATCTCACGCGGCGGGTGTGTATCGCCCACCGCCCCGCTCCCGCGCCCACCGACCTTTCCGCACCAGTCCC